TATAAAATGTATCTTAAAAAGTATCTAAAACAGATACAGATACCTCTAAAAAAATATCTAGATACAGACACAGATACCTTTCTAAAAAATCTATCTAGATACAGATACTACATTTTTATATCTAGATACTTTAACAACTCTGATGGTTTGGCATGATTAAATATAAAAAAATTTGCTTGTATTTTAATTAATTATCCATTTTTTATTAAAAAAAAGACATTATGTTTTTTTATTATATATTTTGCATATAGGTTTTAATAAAACACTATAATATTGATACACTATAAAAATAATACAATTTCATAATTGTGTTCTCCAAAAGGGAACTATAGTTATATCTAAAAATTACTATTTAAATTTTTAGACGTAAATGTATAAATTCTTTAGCTTCACTTGTAAAATGCCGAATTTTAGTGCCAAGATTTTTTATAAACTTATAGGTTAATGGCGAAATATGGCAGTTTGTGGAAATGATTTATATAAAAAGGAAGTTGTTAAGATTTTTGTATTTATTGATTCTTTTTGTTTCTCAGATTGATGTTGATGTTTGAGGAAGTGACGCATGTGTAGGCCCATATTGATTTGCCAACCCAAAGTGTAGTCATCATACCAGCAGGTCTTAATACGTGAGATAAATTAGTGAGCTCAAGAAGGTTCGGAGCATCAAGCTTCGATTTATTGCATGATTTATGGGGCACTGGTGTCGCCCTTGACTTTTATAATTGAGTCCGTGCCTAACCTTTAGATTAACTCGTGATTTGCATTTGAGACAAGCATGTGTATTTAAAAATAGAAAGAAAAAATTGAAATAATTATATTTATTTTATTGCCGAAAAATGAAAACATGTTTCTAAACATTTTTAAAAATTCGAAAAAGAGCTTGAAACCATAAATAAAAAAAAGTTCTGTTTCCGGTTCGGTATTTTTTTTTAATGCTTCTGATTCCCAAATTTTTTAAAAGTGGGCTCCGGTTTCCTCAAATTTGTAACGGTTTCGATGGTTCCAATTTCATACCATGTGAGAGTAATAATAATAAAAATTTCAAACAATACACAAAATTTTAAGTAAATTATTTATAAATAACTTTTTTTAAAACGGGGCTAAAGAAAAAAAGAATTGATTTGTGAAAATGATCGAATTTTTTCAATCTTCATTTTATGCTTTAGATGTAGCCTTACGTAAAAATATTTGTTAAAATAAAATAAAATAAAACATTGTTAACATTAAAATAAATATTTATTATAATGTATTAAAATTAATAAATTGCGTCAATATATAATAATTTATTCCAGGGGTGTCACTAGCTTCTACAATCTCAAGAAGCTCAAAAAAATTTTTTAAAATTATTTCCAAAATTACTTTTAGCTAATATTATCAAAATTATACTTGGTATAAAAAAAATTTTTTTAATTTTGATGGGGCTCTTCAAAATTTTTAGGGGATTCGAGCCCCTGCGCTCCCTCCCCAATGACGCTATTGATTTATTCAAAACATCAATTTCAGAGTAGATAAACAACGATTAGATTTTATTAAAATAAAATAAGATCCATTTGATGTATATTAACGGATTTATGCGGTCACTACTGATACATAAACCATATCCAGCCAGTAGCACACAATCATATAGTTTGCAGAAAAGACTAGAACATTCCTGGCTTCGAATGCAGATATATGCGGAAAATGATATCTGAAATCACCGACTAGGCTGCAGACGTTACTCTAAAACGAAGATTCTTTTTTTGTATATAAGAATAATTTATGACGCCATATAATATTTTAATAAAAACATTTTAAAAAATAACGTTCAACACTATACATACCCTAAATTTTCACAGAAATACAGATATTTAATTGTAATGTAATAAATAAATGTTCGTTTAATAACTTTTTCTCAGATTATTTTCCTCCAAGGCATGTATAATAAAAAAAAAAAATTTTACGATTTAATTAAATATACCGATTTTTAAAATAATTTTATAAAATAAATCATTATTTGCTAAACCTAACTAAATTAATGTGAAAATTTTAAATTTGTAGTATATATGTAAAACACTGTATCAGATCTATTATTATGATCCGGGATAAAATTCTAAAAAAAATTTGTCCCACTGATCCAACAATCCTTTTCAAAGAATCAAGTCCGATTCGAACTTTTATTTTATAAGCCTTAGTCCTATCAAAAAAAAGAAGGAAAATAATGACTGAAGGAAAGGTACAAATTTTAAAGAAAATAGGATAAATGATAAGCACTAGAGGAAAATAAAACAAATGTTAGTTTTTATTCTTGAAGATAATAAAAGTATTCGGAAAACAAAATATTAAAATAAAATCTGAGGTCCGAGACCAACCCAAATAAATATTTTAAAATTAAGATTTTGCCCTATCGAAGAGTTCGGAATAATTATCCAACCGATCCTAGTCAGTGGGATAGGAAAAAACAGATCAACCCACGGATCTGGTATATTTTATGGGATACATGTTTATCAAATAAAATAATGCGATTTTGTCAGCGGCGCAACTTAATAATATGAAATTAGCATAAATAAAAGTTTTTAATTATATATTTTTTTTAAAATGCCCCAATGAGGGGAACCTATCATCCTCATTCCAATTGAAAATTCTTGCATTTTTTGAGATGGAACAAAAAAAATTTTTTTTATGAAATAATACAGAGAATTAATCTTCTCTTAGATTTTTTGAAAACTAGTTGATAATAAAAATCGATCAATACTATATTTTGTGATTACCAAACAAATATTTTTTACAGAGTTGTTAAGGACGCTACATTTTTCCAAAAACACCTATAGCTCCCATCCTTTTTAAAATTGGGGAGCGGGAGCGGGAGCTAGCTCCTTTTAGGGCTGGAGTGGAGGAGCGCCGCTCCACCGCTCCTTTAAATTTAATGTATAAATTAAATTAATTTTTTAAATATTAATAATATTTATTAATTAAAATTCAATAAAAATGAAATTTTATTTGATTTAAATTTTTCCATTATTAAATGTTTAGCCGAGTTTTATAGTTGGTGTTTTGCATCTAAGGTACCATTTATCAAATATTAAACATTGTTATTCCTTTTTATATTGAAAATTTTTTTTGGAAAATCTTGTAAGTCTATAGTTAATAGTTCGCTTCTTACTAGATATATAATCCCAAAAAATCATGTTTTCAGATTCTAACTTAGTGGTTCCATCCTTAGAATGATCATAGATGAATAAACTCGACCACGTGTTCCATCAATACAAAATAATAGGTTTAAAACTTCTAAAAGATGTTGATCCAGATTGGTATCTAAAATATTTCAACATTCACGTGGCAAAATGTCTTTTGTATTTAAATAAAACTATTTAATTTTCAAAAGCGAGCAGTTTCAATCTAAAAAAGCATCTAAAAGTAAAAAATCTTTCTTTTAAATACAAATTAATTTGGAAGATTTTTTTGGATACCATGAAATTGATCATCAGGAAGATAATATATTGGATAAATATTTTTTAAATAATGATACCAAATTACTATTTTTGATAAAAATATCTTTATAAAATACAATACCCTGCTTCCCTCTATTGCTCCTGTGGAGTGCCTATTTAGTATTGCAAAACAGGTCTTAGGGGAGAGGCGTGGATGTTTGATAGATTCTAATTTAAAATTTATTACTTTTAAAAGCTAATAAAAGGTTATAAATATTTTGATAGATAATTTAATATAAATAAAGCTTTTTGATAAAAAAATATAAGATTTTATTTCGTATACCCTCTAAAAAAATGAAATCAAAGGAGCGGTTATGGAGTGGTACTCCATTACTCGGAGCGGGAGCTAGCTCCTTTTAAAAATGTAGTAGCGGGAGCTAGCTTCTTTTGAGAAGGTAGGAGCGGGAGCTAGCTACTTTTAAAAAGGAGCGTTAACAACTCTGATTTTTAAAAAAAGCATATTAAATCTGGTAATTTATATTTTTGTATATTTAAAGTTATTTTTAAAAAAAATAATTGTAATCGAGGCATATTACTCAATATCATAATTTCATAAGTTTCATTATTTATTTTTTTTATGAAAATACAATTTTAAAATAATATGTTGAATATTGAAGAAAAGTAAAACTGTTATTTTTTTAATCTATTTTATTCATAAAATTTGCTTCTATATATATATTTTCTGCATCAAGATTTGAATACAAGAACAAAAAGTAATAAAATAAGTAACAAAAAGTAAAATTATAAAAGGTCAAATACGATTAGGCCTACAAAAAAACGAATCGAATAATTGCGCTATTCGTATTCGTACGAATAATAAAATCATTTTATTAACTGTGGATATTTATTTAACAACCGAGTGTGAAAAGGGCTTGCATCTTATGATTTGATCATAAAGGATAAGCGACGAGTTTAAATATAAATAATTTTTCAAATTTAATCAAAAATATTGATCGACTCTCGATATCAGATCAATGAATTAAAATATGTAGAAGGGAACTTTAAGGGTTTAAATTTTCTTGAAAGAATTAGCTCAAAATAACGTTATAAATTTATATATATTTTATTTTAATGTATAAATATTGATGGTATTAAATTTTTTCATTGCTTTTAATATATAAATATAAATAAAAAATTTAGTCATATTCATAATAAAAAATCAATTATATATTATATTCTTTGATAATATATAAATAATCGTAGCCCCCTCGCCAAGTTTTTAAGGAACACACAACTGATATTATCAGTGTTATAATATTATTTGCACACAAAGTTTGAAAAGTTTCTACTATATTAAATTCAAATATTTACATATCCTAATTTTTAATATAATTTATATTTATGATCTTTCTTAGATTATAATATACGTCAGATAATATAAATCTATTATTTCCTAAATATAAATTTTCAAATTTAATATTAAATGTCGATTTGAACAATTTGGCGTTAAATTTGAAATATTTACTAAATTTTTGAATTTTTAAGAAATACCTTTGTATTTCGCCTTGTGATTGATTCAATATCTTTAATACGATGGAACCGAAGAAGGATGAACCTAAGCCAAAAGAAATTCCAAATATTATAATTGATCCTTTTAAAGGAAAAAAATACCAATTAGGGAAATTTTTAGGAAGGGTAAGTATGTTTAAAAATATAAATATTAAATTGATTTTTGAAGGGAGGATTCGCTAAATGTTATGAAATTATTGATGACGAAAATAATATTTTTGCTTGTAAAATAGTTCCCAAACAACTTTTGACGAAAAAACATCAAAAAGAAAAGGTAATTTACAAATCAAAATATTCTTTTACATAAATTTAGATGGTACAAGAAATCGCAATACATAAATCTTTGCGACACAAACATATAGTTGAATTTTATGACAATTTTGAAAATAAAGACTTTGTTTTTATTGTGCTGGAATTATGTCGTCGTCGGGTATGGCTAAATAAATTTATTTTACAAAAATTAATTTGGCTCTCAATAAGTCTTTAATGGAACTTCACAAAAGAAGAAAATGTGTTAGTGAACCAGAGGCAAGATATTTTTGCAAACAAATAATACTTGCTTGTCAATATTTGCATGATAATAAAATTATACATAGAGATTTGAAATTAGGAAATTTATTTTTGAATGAAGATTTGGAAATAAAAATTGGTGATTTTGGATTAGCAACACGCATTGATAAAGATGGGGACAGAAAATTGTATGAATTTTTTGCTTTTTTATATTTTTGTTATGTCAACAATGTACTAGTATTTATTAAGTGGAAAGATATAAGAGGATAAAAATATTTATTTTATATGCATTTGTTCTAAATTGCTATTATACTTATTGATTAGTGATAATTAGCATTACTTTTGAAAAGCTACATTCTTAAAAATATACTTATTACATTTACATATTAGTTATATATATATATATTACTTATATATAATGCATCATCATTTCATCATAATTTTTTAATTGTATAAAATAATTTTGTGATTAAAAGTTTTAATCAAATTAATTTAAATAAAGAAATAATTGCTCTGAAAAAGGTAAATAGTTAGCTATTAAGCCATTATTTTTAATATACAGTAATCAACTATTGTCTTTATGACCTTTTGACTATAACAGAATCCAATCAGGAGGCTGGATTTAGAAAGCTATTTACCCCTATGGGTTTAGAACAAAAAGAAAAAAATGATAGTAAATTAAATTGTAATAATTATGGCTCAATATCTACTTCCTTATCAGAAAGCTATAAATAACAATTTTATATAAAATTTTTTCAAAATTAAGTTGAAATTTTTATTTGACTTTAACTTTTAAATTATGTTCAAATTTGGTGATTAACAGGTCTGATAGTTTTTACCCCAAAATACGGTAATAACAAATATACACACTAGTGCTTGGTGTAAGAGAGAAATTATATTTAATAGTCTATATTTTTAAATTTAGGAAATCATAACACTTATACAAAAAAATCCATTAAATAAAAAAATTTTTTTAGATTATAGAACAATTATGAATATTCCTTATGTAATTTTATTTTTTCGTTATATAAACTATTTTAGAACATTATGTGGTACACCCAATTACATAGCACCAGAAGTTCTCTCCAAAAAGGGACATAGTTTTGAAGTTGATGCATGGTCATTAGGATGTATAGTGTAATTTAAATTTTATTCTACAATCAAACTAAGTGATTATTTACATTTGATACAAATTTAGTATTAAGATATTACTATGGCTCATAGTATATAACTCATACTTCAGAAATCTGAATGGATTCGTAAATTTTTCTACTTTATCATAGTTCCAAAATTTTTAATAATAAATATAATCTACTAAAACATATGATTGGTGGAGATTAGGAATTAATTTTACCTATTTTTTAATATTGGATGGGCTATTCATTCATTTTTTGAATTTGGGTAATGGCAAATAGTATTAAATCTGCCAACATATTTTTATAGATTGATGCATTTAAATTATAATATTCATATTTCTTTTTTTACAAATTAATGTTTAGCATTGGAATATTATTTTTTAAATAAAAGTATGCTTAATAAACATAACATGATCCTTGACTTTTTTAAACAGGACAATTATTATTTTCCAATTCAAATCCATTTTAGATATTTTATTTACATCTAATTATATTAAAATGTTGTCTGTCAATTTAAATAATAAAATATTTTTTTGATTTAAAATATGGCCTCTATCATTTCATGTGAGATTTTAGAAAAATTAGAATTGAAAATTATGACATCTTGTTGGCTCACCTGAAACATGTAATAGGCGGGATTTAAGGGGACCCCCCCCCCTCCTCCACATAACAACAAATTTTTTTAAGAAATATAAAAGCTCTTCATGAATTGTGAATTGCAGAGTATTCTACTTCAAATAGATTATATTCTTTTTTGAATTTATGCAAAAAAGTTAAAACGAATTTAAATATTTCTTTCTGTATTAATGTTTTATCACACTAAAATTTAAAGTATATTTTATTTCATTTTAAACCTTAAACTGATGCATATAAGATTATTTTATTAACAAAAATAAATTATATTTAATTTATATCTACTAATAGTAATAACTATAATTAGGCAAATGTTCAGTTATTATTTAAAGAGACAGAATTTGCTGAGCAGAATTATTTCGGAGACTTTTTGTTATAAACTGCAAAAAGCACATCTTACAAGATAGAGCCTTGGGCCTCGATCTGTTACAGCATTTTTGGATTTATAGGAACCTATTTTGAATGCCTTTGGAGAAATAGTAGAATGCTCTTAACCAGATATTTCATCTAAAGCAGATACATTATTATATTTTTCATAAAAATAATATGGATTTTTTGAAGCTATGAGAATCGTCTATATTATTATATTACAACTTAGAAATCAAAGAGATAATATCTACCATTCCACGATTTATATAATTACTATGGCGAGCAAAATTATATGATTTTGTTATTTGCAAGCCTCGACTTGCACCTAGTCAAACGAAAAGCTCCAATATTAACATGGACTCAATTGGAACAAATTATTGAAAAATTGGTACAATAGCAATGACGATAAAATTTTATATACGAAATATTTTGATTAAAATCATCATAATATTTAGTTCTAATTTTACTGTGATTTACATAATATTCCCTTTTAAATATTTTGTATTTTCCAATATTTTATTATTTGTATATATAATATATTTTATATTGATTAGTTCTAATAATTTTAATGTTCCAAATTTTTTTATTTTAATATTAAAAAAATATCCCCCCTCCCTTCCTTTATAAATCCCTGGCAACACGCCTGGTTGATGTCTATACCTGTATGCTGCCATGCCACCACCACAGATTTTATTCCAATTTAAACATCTAAATTTTATTTGGCAAAAGTGGTTTCAAATACATTATTAATCTTACTATTCATGGCGGTTTGACACTCACCAAATATTTTAAAATAAAACCCCTGGGCATTTTATCGGCACATAGGTCTACCTACAATTATAATTTCTCAGGTTAAAAATTCCCCAAAACAATATCAATAGATATTCGTTAGAGACAAGTATAAATATATCCTATTAAAGTAGAATCCAAAACCTGAGTCAATCAGATTAAGACATACATTTCTCAAACTTTGGTTTTAAAATGTATTTTAGACTGGATTCAGACATGCACAAAATTTTAAATTTTTCTATTTTTTTAAAGAATAAAATATTGCTTTAACCTTCACCAACTAATGTATGATTTGTTGAAATATCGTATTTTCAACAATCCAATAAAAGAAATTGGATCAAAAATAAAATTTTGGATTCTGATATTTTTAAGAAAAATTCTCCAATTGGATTGGTCATAAAAATGTTTTCACCTCAGATCGGGTTGTTATTAAAAAAAATAGGTCTGAATTGTAATGCTCTTATATTGGTAATAGATTTGTCACATGATGTTTCAGTGTACCTTTATTGTATATTATAAAATTCAAAAATTATGTATATATTATATTGTAGGGTTATATTAGAAAAATAACACCTAACAGGAATTCAGATTGGGATGGCGTTTTCCTAGTCTTTACCCCCAACCTAAAATATCCTTTTTATATATCATAGAAAAGTGAAATAATGAGAAGGAACTTAATTAAGAGAATGACAGATATTAGTTTTATCTTAAATAATTATTTATGTGTATTAATGATTTAAGTGTTAACCGCTAAAAACATATGATAGAAGTAGGCTTTGGTATTTACAAAATTCAGTTTCGATGACGACATTTTTAAAATAAATTTATTCAACTAAGCCTTGAGGCACAAGTTAATTTTTGGTTTCCCTCGAGGTTTATTTTTTTTTCTTTTTTTTTGAACTCGGTTTACACGTTTCTGGATGGGCATTTAGATGCAACCAGCTGTTAGTAAAAATTTTTTAGAAAAACTTGTAATTTAAAATAAAAATAAATTTTATCATATTTAAAAGTTATACACTCATAGTTGGTCGGCCACCCTTTGAAACTGGTACCTTAAAAGAAACCTACCACAGAATAAGAGCTAACGAATATGTCGTACCTTTGGATGTCACTAGTCCAGCCAAAGACTTAATAATAGCCTTGCTCAGATCTGACCCCTCTAAAAGACCCAAAATGTGCGACGTTCTAAATATGGAGTTCTTTAAAGGTTTCTTTTTTAAAAAAATATAATTAGTATATATAAAAATATTCTTTTTGAAATTTTCAAGTCTATAGTGAAGTGATTACGATTTAAATTAAATGATCATTCATACATGAATGTTTTATTTAGTTGATTTTTCTCAAAATAAGATAAATGCCATTTATTTAGAAACATTTAAACAGTAAAGAATTCGGAAATTATTTATAGATATATTGTAGGGGTTTAGCATATCTGAGTTTGCAAATTATTATAACTCGAGAAAATTTTACCACAAACTTTTGTTTATGTTTGATATCTCTTTTTATAATATTGTTTAGTTGTTTTATTATCTATTTTGATTCATATATTTAAAAAAACAGATTACATACCTGATATATTACCAATTTCTTGTTTAAGTACGGCACCTCGATTCAGTATAGCCTATCTAAATTTCAAAAAACCTCTTAATGAATTAGGTAAATATATTTTTTTATTTGTGATATTTATCAGACAAACATTTTAACACTCCCCATCATCATGGCATATCCATTTTATGTTCAACTTGGCCTGCGTTTAATTACATCCTTAAAAGTTATATTTTTTAAAAATAACTAGTTACTTTTGCAGGCTACCATAACTCATCATTTTAATAAAAAATTTTATTATAGAAAATAATTTTGCTATTTAAAAATTGAAATCAAAGGAATTTAAATGAAATAGGAAATAATTACACTGATATTATTTATTTATTAAAAAAAATATCACAAAAAATATTTATTTTTCATATAAAAATTGAACTTAAATTAGACTTTATTAATAATAGACTGTATTCAAAATTGGGCCTAAATTAAGCTTTTTCAAGCAAAAAAACGTTCAATAAAACTTGATTTAAATGAGACATTATATTTAATAAGCAGTCAATTTTAATTTGGGAAATATCTTATAAAGATAATGAATAATATTTGTAAATATTAACTTTTAAAAAGTAACTATTCACTTTTATAGCAAAGAATATTATTACAGTGATGAGTTATAATTATTTTTTTGGCAAAAACGTAACTAAAGTACTTAATTTTATTAGGATACCCACCACTTGTCTTTACAAAATATAAGTTTGCTCGAGATGAGATAGATTCTATACGTATTTTACCTCATTCCCCAAAAAAAAATTTTCAAATATATTAAAATAATTTAAAAATCAGATTTTGTATAAATGTATATAAATTCCCTTTCTAAATTTTTTTTGTTTATTTATTTTGAGATATGAATTATCAACACACAAATATAAGGAACCAGGAGCAAATGAAGAACGATGATATGATTATTAAGAATGACAATCTCAATAACAATAATCAATGCGTTTTACCTTTTAATGGTCACAAAGCTGGTTTAAAAATAAAATAAAATCCTTTTTTGTATTACCTTTACCTGACTGTTAGTTTGCTTTGATTTATTAAGTGAATGAGTCTTATTTGGAAATTTATTAGATAACAATGTATATGTATAAGGATCGATAAATAATTCAGCAATCATATTAAGCTTGATCTTTTATATTGGGCACCCTGCTGTGTGATAGAAATTGTGAATATTTAAACGATATAGATAAGGAATAAAATTATAACAAAATGGGGATTGTAGAAATCTTATTTCCATTACAACTTTTTTATAACAAAGATCGAGATTGACATGCAATTTAGTTCATATTCATTTGTAACTATATTTTATTATGATATTTCATAATAGATGAGCCTAAGGACTGTTATTTCGCTGATTTAGGCAGTCAACTCAAAGTACTCTTCCAATGCAAACCATGGAAAAATCCTCAAATAGTGCAAGGTAATTTAGTTAAAAAAAATTTTTTTAATATTATAATAATTTTTTTAAACATTATTTATTTATTATGAAAATCAATTATAGAAGACGCAGAGCATCCAGCCTCCATTCCCATATTTTGGGTAAGCAAATGGGTCGATTACACGGACAAATATGGCTTAGGTTACCAACTCTCTGATGGTTCGGTTGGGATTCTTTACAACGATAATTCCCGGCTCTTGCTATACGAGGATTTAGAGTTTAGTTTTTAAAAAAAAATGGACTGATAGATTAGTTTGAATACATTACATATTAGATCCAATTTAGATATTTTCACTCTTGAAAGCAAACAACGGAATAAAGTTTGGTAGGATAATTTTAGTAATTGCATGCCATCTATAAAATACAATTACATAACATTTCCTTATATGGATTCTAAAAATTATTAGGACTCTTGAATACATCGATAAAAAGGGACAAGAAGAATATTTTACATTCCATAACTATCCTGAACATTTGAAAAAAAAGGCTACAATACTAAATTACTTCCAGCAATATATGAACGAAAATTTGATAAAGGTTAAAAGCATATAGTATTGTAAATATATTATAGATCTTAATGCTAAGGTAGAAAGAATTAGCTGATATGATAACAATTAGGCATATTTTCATTCTCATGAACTCTTTTAATTGTTTAATAAGGCATAATATTTATAAGTTAAAAAGTACTTATAGTGTGTGTATTCAAGTATCGTTATAGAGGCTTAGATTATTTTGTACCAAGGATTTACATTTTTAAATTCTAAATTATACCGAATTTTTTTTATTATTTTTCTTTCCAATGATAGATTCCAATAAGAAATTTTTCAAAAACTTAGGGATTATGCATATTAATTGTACTTTTATCTAAATTAAATTTGGATTTATATGACGTATTTTGTTTAAACCTCTATTATTCAATTAAAATTTTAGACCGGTGCAAGTATGGCCATTAAGAAGCGGGACGATATATCCAGACTCCCATTTTTAAGGGTATGGCACAGAACCGAAAACGCAATATTTTTCCATTTGACAAATGGTACATTGCAAGTCAACTTTTTCTCCGACCACACAAAACTGATCGTTTGTCCATTGATGCAAGCGGTATAACTAACTTCTAGTTCCAATTATTTGAATGAATATTAAAATTAATCATTGTTATAAAAATTAAATACACAAATCAGTATTTTTGCCCTCCAGCCTTTTATTTTCCAAAACCAAAAATATTTAGGTTTATGAGCCCAGACTGGAACCTGATCAAGTCATTTTATGATTTATTTCTTCAAATAAAAAGTAAAACTTAATTTTTGTCTTAATCCCTAATGCAATAAGATATATCTATCCTAACTTGATTGCCGTTTTTTTTAAAATTTATTACCATTAAAATCTTTAGATAAAATTGATATTTTAAACGCTTTTTTTAAAAAACTTTTATTTTTTTTACAAAATGAACTTATTTATCTCATTATATTGGATAAATTTGATAATGATTCATACCATACCTGGGCTCGGGCTATCAGAAACTGCAAGAACCAGAACCCTATTAAAAATTATTTAGGTCCAAAATCCTGATGAAATTTGCACCATTTTTATTTTATTTTCCCAACCCTAGCATGTCTATTATAACTATAATGTCTTTTTTTTATTATAAAATAACTAACAGGTATCGTATATTGACAAGGACAAAAATTTTACGACTTACAAATTTTCTCTTTTGAAAGTTCATGGCATGACCCGGGAATTGGCTAAAAGGTTAATTGTCGCCGAAAATTATATAGCCAAAGTGTTATCTCAATAATTATCATTTTATACATTCGAATGCATTTTAAATCATAAAATAGACAAAAAAATTTTTAAAAAAACGTAAGAGATCAGATAACCCTATGTGAGCGAATATAAATAGCGGTATTTATATACTTTTTTTAAAAGGTAATTTTCCCATACTGTGTTTATTCTATGGAATAAGTCATAAAATTCACTTGTCCTTTTAAAAGTATTTATATTTTTAAAAGTATTTATATTTTTAATCTATAAATAATTTATTGAATGTAATAAAGATCTAAAAAATTGCACCTCACACATTATTTTTAATAAACCCATATTTAACCTGCATGTATGAATAATTTTTGTGTTTGTTTAAAACTATTAAAAAACCATTTATTAATTATTTTATGATTTAAAAAAGATTGTATATATTTATATATATACGTCATCTTTTTTTTAAACTTTATATTAATCTTTTATGTTTTTTAATAAAAAAAATTAAAATGTCGCGCTTTTTCGAAGTGTCAAACAATTTTTTTTATCATTTATAGTATAGATTATTTAATAACTATTAAATATTATTCAAAGGGAATGATATATAAAAATTTTTTTGAGCTGTTTGAAAATAAAGAGATTGAAATGTGTTATAGATTATTTATTTACAAATTGAGCTTTTATTGATGGGATGAGTCATAAACTAGTATTGGGGGATTCTATGGACCATATAAAAATGACTTTTAATAGAGCATTTAAATGATAAAAAGTTGCCTGCATTATTTCTTAATGAATATTAAAGTAATATAGGAATATTTTCAGCTGGGGCCTATTTGATTAAGCCGCTTGTTAAATTATTTTAAAATTTGTCAGATGATTGTTTAAAAAATTTTGCGACCTACAAGCTGATTGTTAAAGATTATGGAAAAATTAATCATTAGTGAGATCTTATTTTGATAAATAGATAACAGATATTTTGCATAACAATTTAAAAAAAAATAAAACTGATATTTATCCTATAGTTTGCTATATGTTAGTAGGATACTGTTGCGATTTTGTTGGAGCAAGTAATTATACTGGGAAATCTGGACAGAGATATAACAGTGTAATTGGGACATCCTTAATTAAGTGATATTTGAGAAGGTATACTGTTCACAAATCCATATTTATTGATTCTATATACAAAATAAGGAATATTTTCATTAAAGATATATTTATGTTTAACTTTAAATATTTCTAATCGAATACTGGATTGTTCTTAATGATGTATAAAAGTTATGGTGCCAATTAAATAAATTAATTTATTATCTTATCTAATATAAAATAAATAGTATTGTTTCAAATGTAGTATATAAATATTATATAAAATATTTATAAAATATATTTATCCATATAATTTTAAAATAAATACAATTCTATTTTTATTTGGCATAATTATATAATTAAAATATTTAAATGCTCATTGATTATTTCTATATGGAAATTGATGTAGGTGGCGAAAAATTATATTTGAGATTCAATCATTAAAAAATTAGGTATATGGCTGACAATCCCTTTTTTTATTCCACCAGTCCGATAATTTGTAAGATTTATTAGGAATATCATTGAGATGCAAATGTCGACATATTTGGCATAAATAATTATTATCTTTGGCAGGGTCGGGTCCCATCGCGTAATATTTCCTCCAAGAGTGATACTTATTGTAAAGTGTGTCGTTTGAATCTAGTACCAAAAGGTATCTGGCTAGCTCTTTTAAATTATTGGTATGAAAATAAGGGTGATTTTTTGGCACCTGTTGATTACGATTTCGAGTAGAAGTGTCATTTTGAAATTCTTTCCCTTGTTGTTGGTGATTAAAAATATCTTTTATGTCATAGGAGCTGAAGTAGCTTGTAGTTAGATTAAAATAAACGTATGCCCGCCTTATGACAATTACTCAAATGACAAAATCTAAGCAATATGGGTCTGCATCTCAGTATTTAAAAAAAATCGCTGCAAAAGTAATAAAGTATGACCCCTAAATTTACTCATGCATAATTATAAAAATATTTAAGGTTTATCATAAGTTTAAACATGTGTGGTATTAATATTTTTCAATTTGTTTAAATAATTAGAAAAAAGGAACTATAACTAAATAAAAATAAGTAGAGATTTACCCATAATTCGGTCCCATTTCTTCCCCAGTGGTGAAGCCACATAAATAAAAGAAAAAGGTGGAGCCACTCTTGCATAATCTGAGTACCGCGCTCCAAACACTACGGGTACCACCCCAGCTAAAAGCGCTCGATACATTTTTTCCGTCACGTAATGCGCGCAATTGCTGTTCTCGAAGGCCAAATAAAATTTGTAACGAGAAATGAAGCGTATCAAACAATCTGGTTGTTGATGGGTACTATTTCCAACATCCTCAGGAGTTAGACAGAGGCGAGGACGAGCGGAGAAAAATAAAGAACATGCACCATGTATATCTAAGCTACGGGAATTTGCATATTTTACTATTTGATAATAGGTTATAAAATAAAGTAAGATCGAGGGAAAAAAATTTATAAGAGCATATATGTAAAGAAAAAGTAATAGAAAGGAGTGGGAAGGTGAGAAATATCAAAATATTATGCATTGGCAGCATCGATCATTTAATAAACCTGCCTTACGCATTAGAGAATTTTAAAAAGTGAATACTAGGGATGTACTGATATTTTTTATCAGATCGGGCAGATATTTCACTCATTTTAAAATTCAATTATCGGCCAATATAAAATTTTCCGATCCGATCAGATATAAAATGGCGTCTTTAACAAAAATAAAATTTTAAAAAAAGTTATATCTAAAATCATTTATTTTTATAAATAAAATCGAAATCCATTTTTATGTATATTTTTTTAATAATAATAATTAATAAACATTCTGCCATATTTAAATTTTTGCGCATTCTGTTTATAAAAGTGTAAGATAATCTCTTCAGAATCTGTTTTTAGTGAAGCTGGTGATATTGACAGTTAACATCGCCGCAGGCTGACCTCTAATAAATTGGAAATATTGGTATTTCCAAAAAGAAATCTTCGATATATTCATGTTAAATATTATTTTAAATATTTATTTCAAATTTCATAATATAAATTGTCATATTATGTATATAAATTAATGTTATTACTTATTATATAAAAGTGATTTAACAATAAAAATATTTTATATACTTGAATTGCAATTGAATTGAATATAAACTATAACTGATTCAAAATATATTTAAATGACATAAGTTGTGGTATAGTTAAAAATCTTTTTCGAAAAGATGGAAAAAGAGAGTTATAAAAGAAACCGTGAAGAATAATTATAATAAACTTATATACTATCTATTTAATTTATTATTAAAACTTTAAATCGAGATATACCGAATATCGCTATTTCTAAGATACCAAATTATTCATTTATTGGTTAGTTGAATATTTTCGATGCAATTTTGAAACAATTGTTTTTTTGCAAAATATATTAAATAATTTTAGAGTAAACATTGTAATTTTTTATGATCTTTTAGACCATTTTTATAATAAAATCAGTTGGTCCTTCTCATGCTTCGTTGTTTATTTTCTAGTTTGATATTTAATAAAAAAAATTAAAAAATAAATTACTTTTTTTGTTCTCTTCTAAGGAATAAACTTTTATTTTATTTTACGTTTAAAAAAAGGAAAAAAACTAATTACAATCCAAAAAGAAAAATCTTAAATTTATAATTTTAATTTGGTCATTGGCGGACAGCGATGTCTGAATATTCTAAAACTAACAATGGCATCATTGATAATTCTAGAGGTGGTTAATATATTGTGTACGTTATTCCAAAGATTAATTAGTATTTGATAAAATGATAGACAGATTCAAAAACGAAGGATTGTAATCGTATTATGGATTATTCGTATTCGATTTTTTTAAAACGGATTGACGTAATTATACTAATCTTAATAAAGATGGTAAATTTTATTATCTCGAATACGAATGGTCCGATTCTGTCAGTATTGGCATCGTCAAAAAAAAGTATGATGACAAAAATAATTATTAGTCATAAACTAATTAGAAATCTTTAAAAAAATAAAGACGATTGGAAGGGAATGGAAGGATAAGATTCAAAGGGGAAAAAAGGTTAGAATAATAAAATAGAAATGATAAAAAAATAAAAGTGAAGAATAGTTAAATGAACATAAGAAAACTGATGGAAAAGAATTTAACAGAGATGCACCGATACCCTTCCTCCCCCTCCATCTTTTATTGCAGCCGACAATTAGATACTATTAAAAAATACATAATAAATCTAAATTTTATAATATTTATAACATTAAAAAGTGCTATTATTTTTATCCCCAGGCTTAAAAAAAATTTTCTTTATAGTAAAGCACTATTTACGACGTCAGGCATATATTCATAGTTCATACCCTAAAAGTACCATTAAAAAGAATAATAATGGTTTTAAAAAACTAGCAATTATTAAATTATAAAAAAATATCTTGCAAGAAAATACAATTTTTTTTGCGCAACATTACATTGAAAAATTATTCATCTAACTTTTAGAAGGATTTTGAATAATTTGGTATCGGGAAAAATATGTACTAAGAAATTTTATAATAGAGTAAGAGAGAAATTATTTGAGCAACTTTCTTTTTTGTATTGTTGTGCCCAAATTAAACAAGTTCAAGATTTGTTGATAAAAAGTAGTATTAAATAGAATTTATAATGTATAAAAATGAAAATAAATGATTACTGTTATGTTGGATTGAAGAGACGTGATTTCGTATATCACTGATATATTCTAAAATAGTTATTTTTTTATATTGCATAATATATGAGAGACCATGGTTATATTAGCCATACAAAATATATATAAAGCAAATTTTCTAAATAATTAAAACATAATTAATTATTTATGGTATAAATCAATATTTTAATTCATTTTATTATTATAAAATTTAAAAACTATGGAAAAAACCGGGGAACGTTTTGGACTTTCAAGTTGCGTTTTCGGCTTGGTCCATTTAATTAACGCCATGTTTAAAAATCTTTCAAAGTTAAGCGTGAGAATCTCATATTTTTTAAATTGTAAGGAATAAAACGAAATTATCTCCTTTCTTTTATACATTTTTTATAAAAATGTTAGGGCTGTCCGAATGCAGATGTATAAATTTTTCAACAATCTAATATTTTAAATTGATTTATATTTACCATAAGTTAAAGTATTATTTATATATTTTTTTAAAGTAACTAGTAAGTTGTCGGTTATATCATAAAGTAGAGATCTGCATTGGGCGGGTAAAAATTTTTTCAAAAATGAGCAGGCGGGGGGTTAAAAAATTTGAAACTATGGGCGGGCGGGTTAAGAAATTTAAACAATGGGCGGGCGGGTTAAGGAAATTTAAAATTTTTGCTCAAAAACAAACTAAAAAAAATAATTGTTTAAATGATCTATAACAATATTTCTTTTTTTATTTTACCAATCGTTTTTTTTAAGTGAAGAACATTTACCTAACTATATTATGTAATAAACACAACATTAAAACTTTTTTCTTAGAATAAATAAACATTTTTGTCTATTAAAAATTTCCTTTTATGGGAATGTAATAAAACTTTTCTAGTGCTTCTTCCGAACGCGGATTTAGCATTGCTGGAAGATTTTTAGAACAAAGAAGAACGTGTTTGAATCCAGAAAATGTCGATTCATTATTATTTTTGCATTATAATTACATATAATATTAATTTTACATTTATATTTTTTTCATAAATATTCAATTTGATCAAATAAATTGTCCATAATTTACATTGATTATTTTTATACTTATATTAATTTCCTAAATTATAAACTTTTTGTAGAGGTGTAATGCTGAAATATTTTTATTAGATGCTTAAAAAAATGAAATAATGACCATAATTAAATTTTATGTGGACTTGGGTTAAAAATTTTTATAAATAATGGGCGGGCGGGTAAAAAATTTTAGACTAATGGGCGGGCGGACGGGCAAGGAATTTTAGACAAATGGGCGGGGCGGGCGGGTATATATTTTTTTGAAAACTATGACGGGCTGGGCCGGCGGGTTAAATTTTTTGAAAACTATGGGCGGGCTGGGCGGGTGGGTTAAATTTTTTTAAAACATTGGATAGGCGGGTTTTTGGCAGACCTCTATCATAAAGTTCGAGTTAAAAATGCCCTGATATTTTTATTTTTACTTTTACCATATCTAATAAATTACAAAATCTATCAATAAATGGTTTTTTAGAAAGCTGGTAAGCGGACGGGTTAAGAATATTTTTAAAACAATGGGCGATGGGTGGGTCTATTTTAAATATTTTTTGGTAGCAGAATAGACTTTTTTCTATTTATTAAAAATCATTTTTTTTTTATTTCATAATATTGTATATTTTATTAATTTAAGTAAAAATATATTAAAAATAAAAGAAATAAAGAGCCAAACCAACCATTGAAATAATTTTTAAACATTGAAAGGGCGGCGGGTTAAACAAAATTTTTAGATAAATGGGAGGGTAAATTTAAAAAAACATGGGTGGGCGGGCCAGCGAGTTAAAAAAAATTAATCAATGGGCGGACGTTCGAAATAAACCTACCCAGTGGAGATGTCTAGTAACTATATTTTTTTGAGAAAGTCAATTCGTAGTTAAAAGTAGCGTTAATAGCATTGATAAAAATCAAATTTATATATTAGCTGATTTAAAAAAAAATGCATATCCATTTAACAGGCCCTGGTATAAAGAATAACTTGGTCAAGCAATTTTATGTATCATAAGAAAAGATTACTATCTACTTGCTTTAAAATATTTTTTTTTCTTTTTTTATAAATTTCTCCTTCCCTCTTCAAAAAAACTCACTAATTCGTAGGTTATTTGTGAAGCAATTGCTCATAACGGTTACAGCCAGACCCTTTTTGCCTTTCGAATATTCTTTTTGATAACTATTGATAGGTGGCATGGTATTCATTAAAGAATATGACGACGTGATATTCTGGAAATATTTAGATTTGATTCTGTGGAAACTACTGTCCTGTATGAGGATATCGGATTGGGGTAGATAAGTAGCGGTCCAATTGAAGAGGTAATCATATTTGTCTAGTGGGCAGGAATACTCCCAAATATTAGAGCAAGTGTGAATAGGAGATTCCTTTCATATATTTTAACACGTTGGCATATTTAAATAGTGAATAATATTTGTAATTTTTTAATGATTTATTATATAAAAATAACAATGGCTTAATTTGGAGTCCATGTCAGGTCGTGTGTTAAAGTAGCTAGTTACATTTTTGCAAGCTATATTTATGGAATGTTATTGTCAAAAGTAACTAGTTACTTTGTATAATATTTCTTCTATAATAAATATATTTAAATAATTATTTTACTATTAATTATGTTAAAATATTTTATTTTAAATTAAATTTATTAATTGGAATTTTGATTAAATGTCTGATTCCGTATGTGTGCCTTTTTTATATATTTTATATAAATAATTGATCAGATCAATGAATCAGACAAATACAGAATATAATATGAATTTCGGCTGACTCGTAATTTGATGAGGATGTAAAAATAATTTGGCGAAGTTTTAGAAAATATTTTGATTTTTAGTTGTAATTATCCTTAAATATAAAAAAAAATTAATAAATTCGAATCGTGTCTGTGGTCTAGTTGGTTTAGTGCGTGTATCACAATCCAATAGTTATGGATTCGAATCCAACAAGGACCATGTTTTTCTTAAGCCAACTAAATGGTTCCGTCCTTGGGGAGAGGGGGCGATAGTAAATCGGATTCAACATATAATATTAAAAAATAAATGGGTTTTATTGTAGTTTAATAAATTTTGGTCGTTATTTAGCAAATGTCTATATGCCTACCAATATCATATATAACTTCCCTTTAAAAAAAGACATTATATGACTAAAAAGGTTATGCCATGCTTTTTTTGCGTTATAATAACAAACTATTAACATAAAAATATATTTAATTTTTCAAAAATGATCAATTAAATATCATTCATTGAGCAACTAAAAAAAATGGTACAATAATGAAACGAGTATTAATATTAAACTTAGTACTACATAAGGGGGCAAACAAAGAAAGATTTTATTTTAATTTAACAACATACTGAAATTAATAAAGGACAAGCAATTAATAAGATTAAACCTCATGTTTCAATATTAAAAAATAATTGTATTGGAATTTAATTTAGAATAAAAAAAAAGTGTTAAAATATCTATAAATTTTTTTAAAATAGTAAAAAAATGTTTAATTTAGAATTTTTATTATACAGTAGTGATACTAATTTTCCCAATTTAAATGAAGACTCCCAATCTTCATCGAGAATTCAAAGACTAAAAAGAATACATAAATATTGGAACAGAGAAAAAATGAATATAGTTACTAAAATGTTACCAATGTTTGAAAACAACAAATGAAAATAAATACCATCGCAAAATACGTTGAAATGCCTACGGCATAGGTTCATAAATTTAGACACGACACATTCATAGAAATAAATGGAGATCCTCAAAATTATAATTGGTTATTATTCCATGATTCTATGACAGCTTATTAGTATCTTATCACCGAATCCAAACATTGTAATGGATAATGAATCTATCCATGGAAGCCATCTTATCGATGACAGGATTGAATACCTACCACCATAGTCCAGGCGCGTACGCAGGAATATGGTCTGGAGGGGGGGGGATAATAATTTTTTTAAAGAAATATTATTGTTATTTAAAAATATCAAGCATAAATTTATTAGAACTAATAACTATTTCTAATACACAATTTTAAATTATATAAATTATAAAAAAATTATATATATAAACCGGCACATAAAAAACTATAAAATGTGAATTAAAAAATATAAAATGAGTATAACCACCATATGAATCACTTAAATGACCCAAAATAGAAATTTGAATTTTTTGAACCTTTAAATATATATAATGCGGAGACCTGCAGGCCCGGCCCTAAGCTCAGCCTGAGTACCAGGGCCGGGCCTCAAAATTTTTTTTAAAAAATACCAGAACCGGGCCGGGCCATATTTTTTTTAAAAATTTATACAACATGAAATATTATATTCGTCAATTAGATATGGTTATAAGGATTATATATAGTTATGATTATTATAAAATTTGGTGAAAGTGTACACTAGCTAACACTCATAGTATCTATTACATAATAAAATTATAGTTTTCTTGCCATGGAATAAATACGCAAAGGATTAAATACATTATTATATAATATATAATATATGTTATATTTTTTATTGATTAAACATTTTTATTTTTTTTATAAATTCAATTAATATAGTATATTTTTAAAATATTATTTACACAAATTTTTTATAGTATCAATTTGTAATATACTAAATATCTGTTTAGAATAAAAAAAATAAAATAATGATAATACTCGCCGAAAAATATGATAAAATACGAAATTATGAATTTTTTGTATATACCTGGTCGAATATAATTTTAAAAAATTCCGAGCCGGGCCTAAAAAAATTTTTTTTTTAAATCCAGGCCGGGCCCTAAAAATTTTTTTTTTAAATATTCGGGCCGGGCCTAAAATTTTTAAACCCGGGCCGGGCCATAAAAAAATTTTGAAAAAAAAATCCGGGCCGGGCCGAAAATTTTTTAATCTGGGCCGGGCCATACAAATGGTACCTCTGCAGGTCTCTGATATAATGTCTAAAAAATTAAAATGTTGGAATTATAAATATTAATACACAAAAAGTTTCTTAAGAATAATTGTATTTTGTATTATATTTACAATGTAAAATCCAATCTTCGTTGGGATTGAGCTAATTTTTCAATTTCTCATAGTTGCTTGGCGTCAAATGCCTATAAATATTTAAAAGATCCAAACCATTCAATCCACTTTCAGAAGTTGTACTTCTTAGGTATGTTTTTCAGGGAACTGCAGACCCGGTTCCCGGGCCTGACCGTATTTTAATTTTTAAAATATACCCGCTCGGGCCTAAATGTTTTTAAAAAAATTATCCGGGCTCGGCTATATATTTTAAGACCATATATTTGAAATTAGCTATAAAAATCAAGAATATATATAATTTATTTAAAAATATCCGGGCCGGGCCTGAAAATTTTATTTAAAAAAAAGCTGGGCCAAGCCTGAAAATTTTTTTTAAAAAAAACCCGGGCTGGGCCGAAAAAAATTTTGAAAAAAAATCCGGGATCTTCTTAAAAAAGAGAATGTTCTCTCATTAGTTTACTAATGGGAAGAGTTGCTAATATATTAATCCTTTTAATCATTGGGAATATAATCAAAAATGTGTTTGAAATTATACAAAGCTTCCATAGCATTTTTTTGGGACTATATCTTAATGATCTTATACTAATGTTTTGGTTGCCTTGCTGCAAGTCGAGGGAGACAAATATTAAACACGAATAGCTCTCCTTTTGACTCAACAATAACATAAAATTGAAATTCTTCATCAACAGTAGACCTAATTTCCTTGAGTTCTAATAAAATATTCTCCGCTATTCTCATCTTCTTAATCAAGTCAATGCCATGTTTTTAAAAAGTATTACATAAAATAGTTGTATAATTAAATAATACATTATAATGAGAAAAAAAATTTGAAATAAGTATTGAATCCAATAATTTTCTTGCTTCTGAGGAAATATTTATTTCAGGCCATTGTGATATTTCAGTATTAGCATTAATAATCGGCTCTTCTAACTTCATAAAAGCTGTTACTGCTTGATGGCGGAGACTCCATCTCGTTGGACAAGAATGCACTTTCTTTCTCCCTGTTGGGAAAAAAGTTTCAGAAAAATTATTATTTGAAAATGGTAGATAAATATTACGCCGTTAAAAATTTGAAAATAATAGGTAAATATTACACCAATTAAAACTTGAAATCGAAATTAATTGATAAAATAACTTATAGATGAATGTGATAAATAAATGTAATTAAATATATATTTAATATGAGATAGAAATAAATATTCAAATATAAATTAATATAGGCATCTACATTTTTTGGCTTTTTTTCGCTTGCCATAGTCCCCTCAGCTAAATCCCTTCGAATTTTTTTTTGGGTCTTCAAAAATAATATCCAGCAATCAATTCCCGTCCCAATTCAGGAGATGAAATTGTTGGGAATATTATTCAGCTTTTACATTAATTTATTCATTATGTAATAACTTCTACAATCACATGCGACACCATTTGGAGTTGGGTTATCGTGGACAACTTATTAATTAAGTAATTCTTAATTGATTTGTATTTATATTATTTTGTTAATTTTATGTACTTAAAAGGTACCATATTATCAAATTCGTGGAACAAATGGAATGATTTGATAAATGTTTATTATATTTTTTATGTAGTTATTTTATTATAAACGTTATAGTAAATAAATATAATCATATTTTTATCGAAATATAAATGGATACAAAATCGAATAAGAAATAAAAAAATTTCAAATATTAAAAATACTTTTTACAAATTAAGAATAGAATTTATAAAATATAATCTAAAATCTCACTTGAACATTTTTAAAGATAAAAAAAATGATTTTTCATTTCACGAAATTAATTTTATACATAATTTATATTTATTATTTAAACATGACGTTTAATATTAATTGATTGCTTAGCCTTTTTTAATTTCAATGTTGTTAAATTAAAATAAAATCTTTCTTTGTTTACCCCCTTTTGTTGTAGGTTTATTAAGCTCGTTTCACTGTAAAAGGAAATAATTTCATTTATAATTCATATTTTCTTTTAAATAAAAATTATTAAACTAATCCAACATAAGTTGTGACCTAAAATATTTTTATTCATTACAATGCACTACTATAAAAAAAAGAAAAACTATTAATAAGGCCGATCAAAAAAACAGATAAATTTGGTCATATTTAACCTGTATTGTTATGAGGCTGTGTTTAAAAATATTTTTTAAATCGAAGTTTCGAAACTTTGGCAAATTTTTATGAAATCGTATGTTAATTAAAATTTTCTAGAATTATGTTTTGAACATGCTTATTTTTATATTTAAAATAGCTTATTTATTTATCTTCATTAAGGTTTGTGAATTTAATTTTTTGATGTTTTGGACACAGCCTGAAGTAATAATTTAATTTAATAAAATACCTAATTTGCGAGA